TATCTATTATATTCACATTTTCCAGAAGTGATTCAGTCATTTGAAAGTATAAAAAATAAAGGATGGAAATGTATGTTGTAAAGGAAAAAAATGTTTTAAAATCCTCATCAAACATAACAGCAGATTTAGTAAAATTATTATTTAAAAATGGGGAATTGGGTACAGAGGAGTTCAGAAATACTTCAGTGGCCAGGGTAGTATATTAACAAACCCACAAATTTCTCCTCAGAATAAACTGTTGTAATGAAATTTGGAGAGAAGCAATCCTAGGTAGTACAGGCTAGGTGTTCCTACAAGTAACAACCTCCAAGAACTCAAGAAAAATTTATGAGCACCCCAGTTAAAGAGCTCTCTGAAGGAATAACAAATTTCCCTAGAAGTGATGCTCTGTCCTCTTTGTCCTCAATCTCACCTTTGCCTTCTCTAATCTTCAACCCAAAAGGTCTCACAATTTTTGTGGATTTCTTGGTCTAGGCATGCAAATTCTGTTGTCACTGATTTTACAAGGCAGGGATAAAATCTTCATTCACCAAGAAGATATGATTATATTTCCTTTTCAAAACAAAATAGTTATGATCAATAATGTATTTGTAACTCCTTTTAACGAAAAATATCCAGTTATATCAGTATAACCCCCTAATTCTACATTTTCTCCTTAAACACAAATCCATAATATCATCCAACTCAATATATTCTGCTAGTAGCATTTTCTGATTACATATTCTTAGTCATCAGGTGAAAGTGCAGTAGCACAGAGTTAATATTCTTTTCAAAACTCGTATATACTCATTCTGTGATTTCAGGAGGTGGTTATTGTAGCCCCAGATTGCTTTATGAGAACAACAGAGGGCAAACTGGTCAGCAATTACAGACGTCTGACAAGCTGCCTTCCCTGCAGCAGAGGTCAGTTGTACATGGACACACAGCCACCATGCTGTCATCTGGAGAGAAATCAAAGATTAAGGGAAAGTTTGAGGTCCATCACAGATTATGGATTGTGTAGAAAATGGCTATTAAAATTACAAAAATTTATTGTTTGCCTGTCTCCCCTCTTGTAGCTTACACACAGGTAAAATGTGTGTAAGCTAGAAGAGGGATTCTATGCACATTAATAAGTGCAATGTGTGTTAATTGCTAGATTGGAAACATTCAAGGAAAAACAATTTGACATGTTTTCTTTTTAAAGTTACTTTATATAGAGTTGTTCACATTTAAGTTATTAATGAAGATGGGTATAAGTTGCTCTGGCAAACTAATAACTGTTTATGATGCAGCATAAGACAAATAATTAGTAATAATTACTAGTGCATTGCATTTCCCTGCCTTAGGCACCAGCAACTCCTGCATCACAGCGGGCATTAATAAATGAGCAAACCCTCTAGGAAATTTGTGCCACTTGAAGGTTAAAAACTAATTGCAAAGCAGACATTTCTAAGGCTTAGTGGAAATGGCAGCACATCTTAGACACTTTGCATGATAGGCATAACCTAGGCTTGGCAAATAACAGAGGATGTTACAAAATGCCTTGCAGCTTTTCAAAAGTAATGATTTAAACAAAGGATCAAAAGGCAGAATGAAAGCAAGTTTTAGAAAAAGTGAGGAATATAACTTCTGAAGTGAGGTTTACTGCTGCAGCAGTAAAGTCACTATAGGGCACTATTCCACATGGCTTCAGAAATCATTCCTTCACAAAGGAACTAGTTAGTTACTCATGTAAGAAATGTATGGGTGGTTGCTCAGTTAAAAAGGAAAAGTCTTAATGGGAAAGTAAGTATTGGAGAGCTTTTTTTACTGTTTGCTGAAATCAGTTAGATCTCCAAGAGGATCACTGAGCTGAAATTTCCGCAAGTCTGAATATCCACAATACATTCAAGACTAAAAAGGAAGATTTTAAATCTATGTGGTACACAGCCACTAATTCTCTGTCAATTGATTTCCTATTGGTAGATTGCCAGTTCCAAGATCTTTGCCGAAACACATGTACAAAGCCAAAAAACTCCCACATATCTTAAAAAGGTTGAATTCTTTCTCAGAAAAAACATCAGTAATAAGAGATGATGTATACAAGTAGAAGGTAAAGGGAGATCTGTGGCACATGGGTGAGCTCCATGCTGTTCTGGATTTGGGTTACTCTCCAAACATGTTGCAATTGTGTGCTCCTAGAAACAGTTATTTTAGTGACAGGCTCTTTTCTAAGCCTCTTTTCTTGCTTTGTTCCTCATTTTCCTACATTTCACCAAAAAGTTGCTGTCCTAAAATTCAACAGTTCTGTACATCTGAAACAGGAATCATGAACTTGCCTTTACATCTGGGACTCTGCCTGTTAAAACACATAATTCCCCATTCTTCTGATTTTGCACTTGTAACCAAGGTACAGAAATGGCCTGCCAGAAAGAAAGGCTCCAGAAATTTTGCTACTGTCTTTGTAAATAGCAGGTGCTTGCCATGTAATGCAACCAATTCCTTTTATTTGAAAAGAGTCAGTATACTGGGAAGGGCTTGGAAACATGTCAGCAAAGCAGCTAACCTGGGAAGGAAGTGAAACATTCTGGGAGACACTTCCTGGCAATGGTCATGCCAGGAAGCAGCATGGAGAGAACTTCAAGCTTGGAGGGTTTTACTGTGCTTTGCTACTCTGCTCATGTTCTGAATTACTGAATTACTGAGGAGCTCCACAGTCTGAGTGGCAGTGCCTGGAAGTGAAATGGGCTTCAGGCAGGACTGGACAGTTTAGGGAACACAGATTCTGAAATGCTCTCTTAAAAACCAAACTACACAGTTGTCTCCACTCGCTTCTGTTTTGAGTTCCTGAGAACGCAATAGTTTTGTTGAAGGGAACAAAAGAAATGTCTGAGTTTACAGAATTAGCAGCAGCACCCAGCTATCTTTACAATTATTGTGCTCTTTTTATACAAGGTTGTCTCATTTCCCCATACCACCTTTGGTTGGAAGTCCACACCTTTATGTTTAATTTAAAACAACAACAATTTGCATTTTTGCAAACACCAAAGCATGCTACTCCTTCATAGGATTCCTGAGACCTCCCAAATATTAAATCGATGCTTAGCTTTACCCAGATTAAAATCAGTGGTACATACAAGGTGATGCATGAATATCATACATAATGAAAATGTATTAAAGTGTATGAAAGCAGATAAGTGCTATTTTTGACAACAAATTGAACCTTATGGCAAATTATTCATACAATTGAAAGTAGAAGTGCATTATGTAGAGAAGATTCTAAAGGGAAGTATTCATCTAAAATGTCTCTTTGAAATGTCCCTTATTTTTCATACTTTGTCCTGCCCAAGACAGTCATCTTTGCTTGCCTTTTCATTATGCCTTAACCATGAACTGGATGGAATAATTGGCGTGAATTAATAGAAAATTCTGGTTTTAATGCCCCATCTACAGACACAACAACAGTAGGTGCTAATTGCAGTAATGATCTGGATCTTTGTAAAAGTGGCTATCAATGTGTCAGTGCACAATGAAAGTTTTCAAGCAGTGTTCTAGCTCTGAGTTTATGCTGCAGTGTTAGAAAACCACTCATCTGGGGCCTGAGGCATCCAGCCCTGGCCATGGCTTCCATTTTTTAACCATGCTCTTCACATACATACTCACTGCTTATTGACAAATATATCTGTAATTTTTCTTTTCTCTCACCCTCATTTTTCCTGACTTAAAGTCTCCAGATGAGGATAACCAGCTATGCTTGCCTGGAGGCCTGGATGACACTCACAGAGGGAAGATGAAAGCAGCAGCAGAGAAATATAACAGTTTAATCTTCTTAAAAGGGGATAGCTGATAAAGCAGTTCTGGGGTGGGCTTGTTCCACTGCTTCAAAGTGCTGTTTGGTTAAGGAAACTTATTGTTGCACTGTGTGAGCATGATTATTTCAGCATTGCTTCTGATCCCAAATAGCTGCCATTGCCTAGCATTGTGGATGGGTTTGTATTTTTCTCATTGGAATCAAAAAAATAAATACTAGAGGAGTTGGACAAATTTCTACTGAATGCTATGAGCTTCCAGACACAGAAACCATTGTACCACAGAAGCCTAAGGGAAAAGATATGGCAGCACAGATTGTTTCACCAAGACAAGGCAAATTAAAATTCAGCAGACAAGTGGTCTTCATACCCAGGCTTTTAGAAAATAAAATCAATTATACATTTCAGTCTAGAGGAAGGAGTCTGCTTCCACACAGACAAAATGAATAATAGGACTGCTTAGCATGACATGAACAGGGCTACCTGTCCTCACTCCACAGTGGAACAGAGTGCTGTATGTGTGGAATATAGCAGGTAAGGTATGCAGATAAGATGTTTTGGAATCTCTCAGCTCACAGGACACTGAGATTATGACTTGTAACTTAAAGTAGGCAAGCATCCACTGTCAGTTTAGACATTGTGGTGAATGGAAACGATTCACCTTGACTTCCCCACAATTTTTAACAGACCCCTGTCCTGAATGGGATGTCTGTGCTTGGTAGGCAGTACAATTCCAGCATTTTGCTTTGAGGGATGTTTATGTCACTCTCATGTACATAGAGATAACACATCCCCACTAAGCTTTGTTATGTAGACATTTCATGCCCTGTGCCATTCTCAAGGACTGCCTGCCTGCTCTGTCCAGGTGTTACAGAATTATGTCTGCACCAAAAGGCATCTCTAGAATGAAATGCTGGGGATAAGACTGAATCTTATCCACTGAGAATAAAATTTCCTGCCCCACTCTTCTTAACTTGGATGTTAGTGAAGACTACAGAAGAGATGGAGACAGAAGGCTTAGTTAGGAGATGGTACACTAGATGGTTATAAAGCCAGTGACAATTAGAGTGAATGGGCCTGGAATAAACTTCAGCTCTGGACAGGATCAGAACAAGCAGCTCTGCAAGATACAGGCAAGGGTCCAAAAGCTATAGGCCTGAAGAACTGGGAGGGTCTGAAAGTGATGGTGGCACCTGCCTTGTTTACTCGGATTGTAGTAGAGGAACTCACCCCTACGCCTTTTGAGGAGGAAAGGTCTGGCAGCTGCTGCAGAGGCTGAGGTGACAGTAGCTCCAGGGTTGGTTCTCTGTGAATAAATGAGAGCAGTCACAGCACAATCATTCCCTGAGTGGTAAAGGGAGAGGTGGTGAAGGTCAAAGATGTTGCTGCTGTGATGTCAAGTTTAGATGTCAGTCTAGCACAGCCCAGACAATGTTGAGACAGGAATGGAAGGAGGAAAGATGCTATGTCTGTCCACCCAAAAAAAGGAGGTATCTGCCTGAAATTCATGGTCCCAAGCAGTGGCAACCTGTGTTGCCTCTGGGGCTGTGATCATCAAGTACAGCAGGGCCTCACTTGAGTATTGGCTTTCCTTCTGCACATCACCTTGACAGAGCTCATTATTTGAAGGGCTGGGATAGTAACTGATAGTGGGAAATATATCCAGGATGAAATACACAGTTACAACAGTGCTCTGCAGTGCCAAAGAGCCTCAGCAATTTGCTGTGGAATTGTTGCTTTCCTCTGTTTTCTGGAGTACATTGGACATCTTTAGAAAACAGCCCAAAATATGAAACACTTGATTCAGAAGATAAGATCAAGGTCATGCTAGAAGAAAAGTTCTTTTTCTTGAAAGCTGTATGCTGGAAGTGATGAGCTACAATGGAGACTAGGGAGAGAAGGAGTATTAGGGAGGTCAAAGTTGGTGTTCCTAAGTCTCTCTTACCTCCTGGGCTGTTAAAAGTGATCAGACTCTGGTGGCCATATCATCTAAGTGCCCATCCACAGATCATATTCCCACGTAGCCTGTGAGACATCTGGAAATGGTCTGCAGAAAGAAAGGAAAAACCTATAATCTGGTCAGAAGATAAGTACTGTGCATTGGCTTGGTGGTGTCTCAGTGATGAGTGATCAGTAGTGTCATTAGTAGACATCTTGTATCTGCATTGATATCTTACTGCCTGTCATGCTGGATGAAAAGACTTGTGTTAAGTGATTTGTTTCCTGCCCTATGAACTTACTCCCTCACTGGAGCAACAGTGTCACATCCCAGATTCCTTGTGTGTAGGCAGCTGCAGAGCAGAGCATCAGTCAGATGCCACCTGAAAACCCATGGACTCACATTCCTTATTGGGACCATGTGAGCAAAGTGCAGGGCATCGCCAAACTGTCTGCTTGTTCATGATGTCCAATGTGAAGGAGAAAAGAGAGTTCTTGCCAGAGTTATGTCATCTCAGAGGCCCCAATTGACACTGCTGACCTCCTGGAAAGGGGTGTTTCCTTGTGAAGGAGGGAGAAGCCATGCTTTGGAGTAGCTAAGACAGGCACTGATTCCATACATGCACACTGTTTGACCTGCTTACAGTGGGGCTATTTAGCATCATCCATCAGGGCTGATGCAGAGCTGCCATGAGTCTAATTGGCTGTATGGTGCCAAGGGTCTGAGGAAAGCATGAAAGAAGGACCTCAACACAAACTTAGGATCGCATTTTTCCCATGAAAACTTGTCTATTATCAGACAAATCTGTCAGTGTTGTCTTGACTCTTGTGCAGTATTTGCCCAAGGAACTGCTTGGGCAAATACTGCACAAACAGTGCAACTCGTGCCTTGCTGCGAGTCTCTCCTACCCCAGCTATTCCCAAGATAAGGTATTCTTCTTGACATATGTGTTATTGGCAAAAGCAGTGATTGGCTGAGGTGTGGGAATCCTCCACTCGAGGATGTAGATCTGTTGTCCCTAGTGGTGCTGCTGCCCTCCAGCATTTCTGGGACCTTGTGTTACAAAGGGAGGGTCTCACTGTTGGGAAAGAACGTGGGGCTTCCAAGGTATTTTTGTTTCCGGAGAGCTATGTATGCTACATGGGAGAGGGGTCTGTCAGCAGCTGCCCTGCAGCCACCTTGGCAAGCAGCTCCGGGATGCTGGAGCACTGAACAGCTCCACCTACAGCCCTCAATGCCTCCAGGCTTCCCGCTGAATAAGCAGGGGAAGGAGGTACTTGCTGCATGACTGAACGCAGGCCTCGGCTTTGGGAGATGCCTGTAGCCTAAATGTGGATGACACCTTTTAGTCAGAGGAACTACACATCAACTGTAGCCATCCATTGTAAAATACCGTGTAAGTGTATTGTGAGAGATTCACTTTTTGTCACAGCCTGCTCCTGCACAGTCACAGCTAATGGCACAGCAGAGGCTTTGCTGCAACCTTGGGACTGTGTATTTCACATGGTGTGCCACCAGCTTACATCTCAGCCATTTCCGTTTCTGTGTCAGTGGCTAGTGCTGCCCCTTTCTCCCTAGGCTGCACCTGCTGTGCAGTGTTTTCTTTGATACCTTCCTGACAGCTGCCTGCAGTCCATATCTGCTTCCCGCATCTCACCATTTCCCAGCAGCACAGCTGCCAGGTCTGGCACATATTACTAATGCCTCTCCAAAACCATCCAGGAGTAGTAACTCATTAGCAGGATTTAGTTTTTGAAAATTAACTGTCACACTTTGCAGTACAGTACAGATGTAAAATCCTCCTCACAACCAGCAGCTTTATTAATGTGCTATAAATACAACAATAGCAAGGCAAAATGATGATTACATTAAATAATGTTGAAAGCATTATAAGCAGCTTTAGGAGTAAAAAGTTTACAGAGGTGCTGCAATTGTCCGCCCATTGTATTACACATTCTAAAAATCCTGTTCCAGGGTTACACAGGAAAAGAAAACACAGCAGATCTCATAAAGAACTAGAAGGGCACTGCTAACTTTACGCTACTTTAGTATGATGATGGAGATTTGTGTTTGTAACCACTAATCAGAGTAGATGAATTTATAAAGGCATACTGCTTTTCAACACATCCCCTAAAAAACAACCCTTGTGGTATTACTATAAAGGTCTCAGAGTTAATAGAAAAGTAAGTATCTGTGAAAAATGTCAAACTGAACCAGAGGAACCATTACCTATGTCACACTCTATACTAGGAAGATGAATGTATCCTCACTCAGCATGGTTTTCTCACCATGACTACGATGAAAATAAAAATAGTTCTATGTATGTGTCTAGACAATATACACACAACTCTCTCCAGTACATAAACATATTTTTTGCAGCATGACCAGATGCTCTGCTTTCCACTGATTCATCCTATATGAATCAGTGGAAAGCAGAGCACACTTAAAAAAATTACTATCCTAAAGACAGCTAATATTCTACTTTTTAATAATGATTTTATCTTCCCACTTTATCTGAATAATGTTTTCCTATGTATACCAGGAAACTTCATTTCAATTAATTTCAATGCATGCTGAGATAATTAAATTATTTAATTCTATGTATTTTGGGTTTTGTGGTTTTATTAATATTTTAGGAGTATTCTATCCTTGTTCCCAAACCTCTGACATGCACATCAGCTGTGAAACAAATAGTGCAAAAGGTTTCAGTGAGCTGTATGAAATATATAAGTATGCAACATTCCAGTGACAAGCCCCAGGCTCCTGTCTTTTTTACAGGAGCCAATGATGACTACATGTAAGTCAGTGCCAAAATCCCCCTTGATCAAAGTACATGTAATGTGCATTGTGCAAAACTTCACACGAGCAGATATGTAGAATCACCATCTGGTGTCATGTTGAAGGAGAAACTTTTGCATTACATACCACTGCCATGCCTCTGCAATTATTTCAGGTCATCATCCTCCCTCAAGACAAGCTGAGTTATGTACAAAGTGGCTCTTGAGGTATGAGATCAGGCTGGCATGGCCATTGACACAGTAAGAGAGAGGCCTGCATTTGAGAACCTCATAGACAGATTCTTAGGTTTGTGCCATTGACATCTGTCCCATGTTCTGCTACCTAAAACTGCAGCCTCTTTCATGTTTTGTGATCTCTCCCCACAGAGGTACTCACAGTAAACCTTCCACTGTAAGTGCTCTTCCTACCTCTGTTTAAATAGTACATTTTCATAATCATTTTCAGATAAGTCAGGGTCAATCAAGTTGCTTATGGGAAGCACTTGAATGTTCAGTGTCCTGATGAAGTGGCTGGGATCTTTCAGAAGAGTGAGCTGCTCCACAGCACCAGTCCCCAGCATCTCATCTTGATGATTCTGCTCTCCATCACACAAACCATAGACTCTGTTCCTGTATACTTAAGATTATGTCCTTAGTCCATGAACCCATCCCTTTAATTCTTATTGCAAAAATAATTTCACCATACATAGCTTTATTAACCATCAAACTTTTCAGGAAGATATGATGGGAGAATGAAAGGGTATGGATGTATTCCATAGCAGAACATATACAGAGTAATTGGGACAGCCACTATTCATTTTTATTTTTTTCCCATTTAAATTCTTCTTTAATAACTAAGTTTTATGTCTAAATTATAGGAGATAAGAAAATCAGCCCTAATAAGTCATTACTTATTACAAGAACACCACTTTTGTTTCCTTACTCAACTCTGTATTTTGAATTTGTTCAAATACTCATGTTTGATACACTGCTAGTAAAATACAGTTATTCAGTATTCTCAATCCTCCTGTTTACTGAGGCTTCTCATTATATACCAGAACTTCCATTAAGACTTCAGAGATTGATTCTTAATCTTCCATTAGTACGAAGGGGATTAATACATAGAAAAGGAAAATAAAACACTTCTTTAAAGTGTGAACATCATAATAAAGCAAGTATCAGAGACTCAATTACTGCTACACAGCGCCGTGTTACCACTAGGTGTCAGGGACACAATTCACTCTGCCCGGGCAGCAGGACCACAGGCTTGCTTAGCTATGACTCACGTCCCCCAAGGATTGAGGGGTAATTTTGTCTACGCTCTTACACTTCTCAGTTAAAGGCTTTAAAACAGCAATGGAACTGGTCCACTCCTTGAGAAGATCCCTATTGTGAAAACTGTACTGGTGCACTTAGCTCTGCCACCGTGGTAGCCACAGTGAGGGAGTTACAAATAGAAATTAGAGGCAAACTATAAAGAAAGTACAAGAAAGGGCGGAGTGGCAGACATTGTCTGCCTGGACTGCTGTGAGGCCTTTGACACTGTCTCTCACAAGAAACTCACAGAGAATCCAGTGAAGCATGGCCTGGACAGACATACACAGTGAGGTACACTGAAAACTGTCTGAACATCTGAGGCACAGAGTCTAGTCAGAGGCCAGGAACCAGCAGCGTATCTCAGGGGTCAGGGCTGGGTCTAATTCTGTTAAAAATCTTCATCAATGATTGGGATGACAGGGCATACTGTACCCTCTGCCAGTGTGCAGTTGACACTAATCTGGGAGCTGGGCAGAGTGGCTAATATACCAGAGCGCTGTGCTGCCATCCAGAGGGACCATGACAGGATGGGTGAGCAGGAAGCTTAGGAAGGAAAGGGCAAGTCCTGAGCCTGGGGAGGAACAGCCCCATTCACCAGTATATGCTGGGGGACACCCAGTGTATAAGCATCTTCGCAGTAGATCTGGGTCCTGGTAGACGCAAAATTGAACATAAACCAGCAATGTGTCTGTGTAGCAAGGAAGGTTGTTGGGATCCTGGGCTGCATTAGGAGGAGTGCTGCCATCAGGTCAAGGGAAGTAATTCTTTCACTGTACTCACCACTGCTGAGGCCACACCTGGAGTACTATGTCCAGTTCTGAGGTCCCAGCAGAAGACAGACATGGACATAGAGAAGAAGTCCAGCAAAGATTTCATACCTCTCATCACCAGCCCCTGGGTCTGGCCATTCAGTTGTTTTTCAACCCACCTTACTGCTCATCCAGTTCGTATACCAACAGCTTGTGTATAAGGATCTTATGGGAGATGGTGCCAAAGGCCTAACTGAAGTCCAGGTAAACAATATTCAAAGCTTTC